AATAGCATTGTAATTCCCCCTCCCCCAATTAAATACTTTCCCAGACCATCTGCTCCTATCCCGTTCCATGACTGTAGTAAAGGTCAGGGAGTTGTGATCACTATCATCGAAATGCTCTCCCACCGAGAGATCTGACACTTGGCCTAGTTCGTTGCCAAGCACCAAATCCAATATGGCCTCCCCTCCAGTCGGCCTATCTATATATTGAGTCAGAAATCCTTCCTGGACACACCTGACAAAATCTGCACCATCCAAACTTTTGCACTTAGGAGATTCCAGTCTATATTAGGGAAGTTGAAGTCACCCATGACAACAACCCTATTACTTCTGCACCTTTCCACAATCTGTCTCCCAACCTGTTCTTCAGTGTCTCTGTTACTATTGGGGGTCTGTAGAAAACTCCTAATAAAGTGACTTCTCCTTTCCTGTTTCTGACTTCTACCCATGTTGACTCAGTGGACATGTTGACTCCTCCACGACCTTCTGCAGCTGTGATACCATCTCTGATTAGCAATGCCACTCCCCCACCTCTTTTACCTCCCTCCCTATTTCTTTTGAAACATCTATACCCTGGAACATCCAACAACCATTCTTGGCCCTGTGTTATCCAAGTCTCCATAATGGCCACAACATCATATTTCCAAGTACTGATCCGTGCTCTAAGTTTGTCACCCTTATTCCTGACACTTCTTGCATTGAAGTAGACACACGTCAGCCCCTCACACTGACTGCAACTTTGCCCTATCAACTGCTTATCCTTCCTCACAGATTCTCTGCTTGCTGTATCTGCCTATACACCGCTACCCATCTTCTGATCTGTAGCTCTGGTTCCCATCCCCCAATGAACTGAACTGTTAACAAACCGAACAGTTATCCTCTGACGAGTAACTATTAGTGAATAAAACAAAATTCTACTGGTATGCTGTTCCAATAAGTGCCGGTCCCACTTTTATCAACCAAAATTTTAAAAAATTAGAACTTGGTCTCTTGAAATTATAGCCAGGTTCTGTCTTCCAGAATATTCTGTGTCTTCTCTGTTGATCTTCCATCAGGAACACCTTCTTCATTGAATTCTTTTTGTCAGAATTACTAACTAAGAGTGCTGAGGTATCTTTACTTAGATGATGCTTTCTCTAGGATCTGAGAGAGCTGATCTCTTAGCAGATGGCAGTTTGGTCTCTGCCGATTTTGCAACTGTCCCCGTCTTTTATACCCTTGATGACATATCAATTTCTTACAATAGGATTGGTCCTATGTTGTCAAAACCATCAGATTTAAATTTAATTAGTTTTTAGTATCTAAGTGCATGGTTTAAATTAATTGGCTAAATTCAAACTTGTTGTCTTGACAACAAAACAAAACTGTGTGGCTTGGCCTGTTAACCATCCAGCCTTTTGGATACAAATGTTACAATTCGGGTGCTCTGTGCACCTGCAAACCCACAAGCCGTCCAAAGACTTTTTTTAATCTCCAGCTTTTAAAGGCACATCGTTTTTTAAAGGGACCATGCATTGCCATACCCCCTATCATTTTATAAACACCAGAATTTGCTGCTTGTAAAATATTAACGTCCTGTCTTCCAATCCACAAGTACTCCACTCAACTTTGCAACAGTTCTTTGCACATGTTTACAATTTGCAAATGTGGAAATAAAGCATTCAATTGATTTCAGGAATTAGAGTATTTTAAAAACACAAACACCCAATTCTAATGGTACGGTGGATTTATATTGCCAACATTTATTTGTTTTCTCCTTTTCCAACATGGATCATACAAACCCTGAGGCACAGATGGCATTGTTTGTTTACCACAATAACATCACTTCAGTTGAAAGTAACACTCTTCAGCTGTGTATCAGTGAAAAATATTTGTGTCAGCGTCATAGGGAACAATAAATTACCAGATGGGGCCAAGTGTAGTGAGGATTCCTCGTTCATCATTGGAAATACTTATATAACACAGTTGGGCATGAAGTCTTCTAACCTTGAATAATTTAAGTAAATAACATTGAATAAATAGGTTGGAGCATGTTGCAAAATAATGACTTTTTCAGACATTGAGATTTAGTTATTTACAAATGCAATCATGTCAAATCTAAAATAATTTACTGGTTCGTTTGAAATACACAGTATTTAGTGTTGATGTATCAAGCATTCATTGTGAGAGTTTATCAGTGGTCAGAAAGATAGTTTCATTGAAATTTCTGGGTGCAGTTTTCCAATGTTTGGCAAATTTTTGTTTCTTCCAGCTGAATAATCATTTTTGAAGCTAGACAGTAACACTTGAACAGAAGCAATATAGTACAATACAGACTGAATTGAAATAATACTGAAATTTAGTTAATTTCATGGTGTACCAGTGAAGATTCTTGTGAAGGATTTATTTTATCAGAATTTTAGCTTTTTATTTCAAAGCTTCAGAAAAGACTTTTTTAGACAGGTTTTATTTTACAATGAGCAGTTTACAATTAGTGTTTGTCTGCCGTACAAATTACTAGTCTTACAAGTGTAAATTTATATTTTGAACCAAATCATTTCTCAAAAAAACATGCTAAGTATAGCATATGCAGGTGGAAAGATGTAAGAGAAGAATAATTTTGGGGGGGTGGAGTAACAAAGGGAGTTGAACTCATTACAACTTTTCTTTACTCTATCTCTAGACATTGAAATGAAATAATTACAGTGAAATCATTCCCAGACTTAAAAGCAAGTACTGTCAAGATGTGAACAAATAGGTTGTGGCAAGTTATACATTGCAATTATGCATCTTTAGTAGAACAGTTAAAAAAGATATGCATTATAGTTTGAAATCAGACATCAGCTACCAGAAAATCCTCTTTGAAAACATGGAAATCTTCTCTGCGACAAAGTAATTTTTAATCTGTCTAATGGTTTAACTTACCCATAATTTTTATTTCTTTCAGATATGGGGAGAAAGGGAAAGCAGTTAGAATTGAGAAAGTCATTTACACAGGGAAAGAAGGAAAAAGTTCCCAGGGTTGTCCAATTGCAAAATGGGTAAGTGTTGAGTTCTGTTTGTTGATTCATTTTCTTTCTCCTTTATTCTTCCACTTCTGAAAGCAATTATTTACACATTATATACGTTGTGGGCACCCTCCAGTATTTTTGCCAAATAACCATTTTAATCCAAGTTAACATCACCAGTGTTAGTAAACCACTTACTGTAGGAATTTGTACAACGTAGCCTGATCATGTTTTCACCCATTATCCACATAAGCACACCGCTGCAGTATTAAATTAACAAAGCTCAGTAACAGGAATCAAATTAGTTATTTATGAAATAAAGACAGAAGCACCTGAAATATGCAGCTTAACTAGCAGCATCTGTGAAGACAGAAACATAGTATTTCATGTTGCCACTTTTCATCAGACTGGGGAAAAGTTAGAAATGTAATCGCTTTTATGTAAGTAAAATGGTGGAGTTTGTAAAAAGAACAAAAGAGAGGGTGTGTGATCGAGTGGAAGACAGGAGACATTAAATGACAACAAGTTGGAGGGGCTGAGCCTAAAATAACAGAAATGGGACTAGTAAAGAGACAAAAAGAGTGCATCCACAGGAGATGTGAAGGGTCATGTGTTGAGAATTTCTGCATTTGTTTTTATTTCACATTCCAGCACCTGCAGTATTTTGCTTTTGGATTAGTTGTGGGCATTAACTAGCCATTCAAATAGGAACAGACAAAGTGGGGTTGAAATAAGGAGGTATGTATGTTTGTTTTGTGCATCTCTGTATCTCTGAATAAATGCTTATAAATGTGCAAAAAGAACAGTTACTATTTTATCCTTCACCACTGGACTGTCTGGAGAGGAACCAATGATTGATTTATTATTTCACCTTCCCTCATAAAGATATCGAAACCAGCTTTTGCACATTGACCACTTGGATGTGGATTGAGTGCCCCATTTTACATTATCCCCCACTAAAGTATCATAGAAGCAATTCATTAACAGGACACTTTTTGTCAAATATATCATCTTAGATTTATCAAATTACTCCCTTTCGCCTTTCAAACTGAATCCACAAATCATACTTATAAAATCATAAAAGCCCTACAATGTGGAAGTCGGCCATTCAGCCAATTGAGTCTACACTGACCCTCTGAAGAACATCCCACCTCCCCACCCTATCCCTGTAACCCTGCAATTCCCTCCATCTAGCCTGCACATCTCTGGGCACTATGGGCAATTGAGCATGGCCAGTCCACCTAACCTGCACATCTTTGGACTGTGGGAGGTAACTGGAGCACTCTGAGGAAACCCACACAGACACTGGGAGAATCTGCAAACTCCACACAGTCGCCCAAGGGTGGAATCAAATCTGGGTCCCTGGTGCTGTGAGGCAGCAGTGCTAACCACTGTGCCACCCCAATATTTGAACAGTCTTCTCCAGAATCTGTTTTAGGATGTTTTGAAGGAGATACTTCCTATGTGTAATTCAACTATAAACATACATACAAAGACTGTGATTATGATTTTGCTATGAATAGTGCCAATGAAATCTCTCCTCACTATACTTCTTGACTACCAGAATATTTCATACATTGATAAATGTAATTAATTTCCATCAAAGTTCTGAGAGGGTGGTGCCAAATCTTCAGTAAATCCTTTTTGCTTTTACATCAGAAATGCAAATACAATATACAAATACTATAAAGCTTACAAAGACTTTTCAATAGCCAGAGATCCACATTCAGACAACTGCACCAAATAAACCATCTTAGATATATTGCTAGTGGAATTCTTTTCAGTCCCACCCAAACTTGCACTGAATTCTTCCCTGCACGAGATAGGATACATGCATTGATTTCACCTATTACATCTTTTCTTCTAGTATATAGCATGACAACTCTTAAGCTGCATCAAAAATGGAATTGCTCAGATACTTAAACAAGAATTAAATCGCGTAAGCCTAAATTTTTCACTTTCTCCACACGTGAAACTCAAATGGTTATACAATATTTAGTTGGACGCGAATGATAGTGTGTTTGTGCTCAAATCTTTGAGGACCGCTCATTAGCATAGCTTCAATTGCAGATTTGAATGAATGAGCAGACAATGTTACAAGCAGAAGACTGGCTGAGTAAATTTCAAAGTGATTGACAGAAAAAGTTGAGACAAGTTGTTGAATCATTTGTAAAGCTTTAAAATGCAGCTCAACATTCTAGTTATCTTTGCCGAGGGAATCAGGGAGTCAGAAATGGATATTGTACTGCATGAGATAGGGCTACTTTTATAGGCTTTCTGTAGAATTGCAGATTATCATATGCATAGATCAGCTCTATAGTAGTCCTGTATATGAACATATGAATGAGGAGCAGAGGGAGGTCATTTGGTCGCTCAAGCGTGTGCCACTATTCAATAAGTTCATGGGTATTCTGTTTGTGTTTCAAATTCCACCTCTCTATCTACCTCTGACAACCTTTGATTCCCTTGACAAAAGTGTCTATCCATTGTTGCCTTAAAAATATTCAATGATTCCTCTTCCAGCAACTTCTGAGGCAGACAGTTACAAAGTCAATAACCCTCTGAGAAAATAAAATTTTTGTATCGTAGAAGGGTAGCTCCTAATTTTTAGACAGTGCCCACTCAGTCTGGACTCATCCAGAAGAGAAAACATCCTTTCCATGCCCACGTTGTCAAGACTGTTTCGGGTCTTCTATACATTTCCAGTCACTTTTCTAAAGTCCATTGGAAACCAAGCCTCAACTGTTCAACCTTTCCTTGTAGACAGCTTGTTTATTTCGGGTATCAATCAAATAAACCTTATCTGAACCACCTTCAACATAGTTGTATCCTTCCTCAAATCAGGAGACCAAAACTGCACACAGTATTTGAGACGTGGTCTCACTAGTACCCTATAAAAATGATGCATAGCAATTTTATTTTTATGTTTAATTCCTAGCTTAACATTGGATCCCATTAGCTTGCAGTACCTGTGTAATTTTTGCAAATCCTGCAGTAAGATCCCACTGCACCTTGAAATTCTGCAGTTGTTCTCCATTTAAGTACTCTTTGTATGAAAGTGAACAACTTCACATTCTCACATTATATTCCCCCTGCCAAATTTTTGCCCACTCACTTAACCTGTGTGTATCCATCTACAACCTCCTTATTTCTCTTCTCAAGAGACTTTCCTGCCTATCTTTATGTCATCTATAAACTTAGATAAAATGGAGAAAAATTTCACGACACTTGACCATCACTTTTATTGTATGCGCTCTAGCCATGTGTTGGAACTGTCCTGTGGGCAAAGGGTAGCATTGTTTTTCATTTATCCCAAACTTGGTGAAGAAAATCCTTCCCCCATTGTCAGGACATGTGAAAATGATGGGCAGCATCTAAATATGTATGGCCAAACATAGTCATGTGATGACATGAAAAATATGTCCAAGTAACCAGGATATTCTAATTATTCAAGTATTTGCATGTCATTGCACTGCCATCAGCACTGCTGTCCCTGATTGTCTGCCAAAGTGGGATTCATTTTTGCAGATGTAGGGTTGGCTGTCATTCATAGGCAAGGAGCATCTCTCAGACGTCCTGGCCTGCCTCACACTCCTTTTTAGAATCTTCTCCCATTCTTTCAAACAAAGCAGACAAGAAGAATCTCTTAGTGGGAGCATTTCTGAAAAAAAAATTCAGAAATCTCCATGAGAACTTTTCCACAGGGTAAGAGAGTCCAAAACTAGAGGGCATAGGTTTAAGGCAAGAGGGGAAAAGATTTTGAAAAGGACCTGAGGTGCAATTATACAGAACAAAGTGCAGAGGAAGTGGAAGAGACAGGTACAATTACAAGATTTAGAAGACATTTGGCCAGGTACATGGATTGGAAAGAGTTAGAAGGATATGGGCCAAACACAAGCAAATGGGACTAGTTCATTTTTGGAAACCTGGTTGGCAGGGATGAGTTGGCCTATTTCCTTGATGTATGACTGCAGGAGATAAACAGAATAATGCACAAAAACAGTCCAACTTTAAGTGAAATATGAAAAAGTGAATTGACTTGCCTTATCCCTTTAAATTCCCAAGCTACAGGTTGGAGCATGCAACAGGTTAAAATTTGAAAAATTGCTGGCATGTCAGAAACTCTATGTGACTCACTCACACATTTAAACAGTGAATGCTTTGGAATCATGCAGAAGCTCAAGTGGGGCTGGGGGTGGGGTTCAGTGATTATAATAAGTGGCAACTGAATGAAGATTTAACCATTTATTCTGATTTTAACCAAGGCACATTGGTTTCCCGAGCTGTTTGAAATTTACCAGGATCAACAAGGCGAGACCAGGTTTTGACAGAGCTGTGAACTTGCCAGGTTGAAAAGTTTTTTGAATGTTGAAATGTGACTGCTGCTTGCTTGCCTAAAAGAAAGGCTTTTATTCTGACAGACAGAAAATGCTGGATAAATTCAAGTCAGGGACCATCTGTGGAGAGAGAAAAAGTTCATGGTTTGAGTCCAAGATGACTCTTCCTCAGAACTGAAGTGGCAGACTTGAAACATTAATTCTGTTTCTCTCTCTACAGATGTTGCCAAATTCTCTGTGTTTGACCAACATTTTCTCTTTTGATTTCAGATTTCCAGCACCTGCAGTATTTTGCTTTTATTTTTGTTCTGACAGAATGCACTCTTCTTTGCTTGTAACGGTTTTCCAACAATATGGAGGTCATGTCTTTTATCTTGGACTTCTTAAAAATTGATTGACACTTTCTAACTGTCATCTGTCAGTACTGCATGTAAGCAGCTCATTTGGCTCCATGTTAGACTTCCGGTAAGGATCAAAAGGAGCAGTAGAGCAACAACAGCAATAGTAGTCTTCTCCTTATCCACCTGCCATTCCACAGGATAGCCTCCGATTCAAAGGAGGCAAGATCCTCAACAAAATATTGATTTTCTGAAGGGGACCGAGCAGTGCTTCAGGAGACTGAGACGTCCTCATCAAGTCATTACTGATGTCTTCAGTCTCCAGAATAAAGATATTTTTCCAACTGGCCCAGAGGGT